GGCCTGCCAGCTTATAACCCTTATTTGCTAAATAAATAGTGCACTGTGATCAAAGCCAAGTGCTACAAAATCCTTTTCTTCCTTTCCTATAGAATTCAACCATGAAGGCCCGGCGGCATGACCTAGAGGCTAAATTCCTCGCCTTGAATGCCTGGGATCCCATATGGGCGCCGATTCTAATCCTGGCAGTTCCACTTCCCATCCAGCTCCCTGCTTGTGGCCTGGGAAGGCAGCCGAGGGCGGCCCAGAGCCTTGGGACACTGCGCCCACGTGGCAGACCCTGAAGAGGTTCCTGGTTCTAGGCTTCGGATCAGCGCAGCACCAGCTGTTGTGCTCACTTGGGGAGTGAATCATCGGATCGAAGATCTTCCTCTCTGTATATCTGACTTTGTAATAAAAATAAATAAATCTTAAAAAAAAAAAAAAAAAGAATTCAACCATGAAACAGAGAACACAGGAACTTCCTGATTTGTCAGTGAGGTGTGCTCCAAATGGGATATCTCCTTTTCCAAGTTCAGGTCTCCTGTTGACACTTGCTGATATATCAGAGAATATTCTTTGCTGGAAAGAGAGGAGACACTTCAAGTTTCTTCTTCACTTGGCTAATTGGGCTCTGACCATACTTTTCCCCTGACACCCTCCCCCCAAAATCAGGGTTTATTTGGATGAGGTTACAAAAGATTAGCTGCAGGAGAAAGAGGAAAAGATCATCCTAAGATGGAAACTTGGGACCAGTGTCAGGATGAAGATTAAAGCTGCCATCTGTGACACCAACATTCCACTGACACCAGTTCATGTTCCAGCTGCTCTGCTTTTAATCCAACTCCCTGTAATAGGCCTGGAAAGGTAGCAGGAAATGGGTGCTTGGGCCCTTACACCCTCGTAGGAGACCTAGAGAGTTTCATGTACCTGGCTTAAGCTTGGTCCAGTTGCAGCCACTGCAGCCACTTGGGAAATGTATCAGTGGATGGAAGGTCTATATCCCCTTTCTGTAACTTTGTCTTCCAAATAAGTAAATCTTTAAAAAGGAATATTAAAAATTAACATTTGGAAGAGAAAAACTGAAAAGACAAGAAATCATGATTGTGTCTGTATGTGTAGGTGTGTGTATGGGGGAGGTAAGCTGATATTGACAAGACTAGAGAAAATGGATGTTAATATATTCAGGAAACTAAAACTAAAACACTTTTGATGTTATGCTGCAAGTGGGAAAAGAAAGGCCCAGGAAGGAAAGTTTCCAGTATTTGAGGGAAAGTTAGGGAGGACAAGTGAGGAAGTGTTACTTCAAGGTCTGTTTTCCCCAAAGCATGACTCAAAGCACTCATCACTTGAGATGGTTATTGGAAAACACTTCTCTGCTTAGACAAGTGCAGCAAACACTTGTGCAGGTCACAATGTGGGAATGAGAACTTGAGAACTGACCTCTCACCGCCCCCCACCCCCTGGTTTTCATCTGCCATCCCCTACACAAATGAGAATATGCTTCAAAAAAGGTGTGGGAAACGGAATCACAAAATGAGTTCACTCTGGTGCAAGAACATGTTGAAGTCCATGAAGGGTTTTTCATAACATGCATTTTCCATGAGCTGTTTGTGTATGGCTTCCCTTGGGAATGCATACATGGGGAGGATCACTGTTCTTGGGCCATGCCCAGTGTCAGCCAGCACCAGCAGAGCATGTAGCTGGTACAGGACATTCAGATGTCTGCTCTGTAAAGCTGGGGGAGCAGTTACATAAACCGTGTTACAGGAACTAGAGCTGCTAGCTACATTTTGCTGGTCTAATATTTTGTTTTGATTTCATAATTGAACCAGGGAATCTCAAGAGTCACTTAAAACTCAATGTAGCCATTCACTGGCAACTTCTACTTTCTTCAATTCCATATAAGAGTAACTGTTTTCAGTTCTGGTTTCCTTACTTCCAATTCCAGCTTCTTGCTCATGCACACTCCAGGAGGCAGTAGGTTTTGGCTTAAGTACTTGGGTTCCTATACCCACATGGGAGTCCTGGATTGAGTTCCTAACTGCTGACCTTGTCCTGACCCAGCTATGGACATTGTAGGCATTTGATGAGTGAACCAGTGGACAGAAGATCAGTATTTGTCGCTCTTAAAAATTAAAACAAACAAACAAACAAAAAATCCCAACACAGTAGCTAGTGTCATGACACAGTGGTTAAGCTTCCACCTGTAATTCCAGCATTCTGGGCTCCTCTCTTTCTGCCCCAGTTCCTTGCTAATGTGCCTGAGAAAGCAGAAAAGGATAGCTCAAGTTCTTGGTCCCCTGCCACTCATGTGGGAGACTTGGACAGAGTTCCAGGCTCCTGGTTTCAGCCTGGCCTAGCCCTTGCTGTTACAGTCATTTGGGAAGTGAGCTGATGAAAGCTTGTTCTCTATCTCTTTCTCTCTGACTTTCAAATAAATCAAAACATCTTTTTCATGACACCTCAGCATCATTACTACCACTCTTTTTTCTAACAGCCAGCATGTGTCTTAGTCCAAACACATGCCATCCAGGACACAGCTGTCCATCTCCTGCACAGGCAGACTTGTGGAAGGCTTCTGGAATGAATGGTCTTGCTGAATGCGACCCGACAATGTGGTGCCTCCAATGCATTGGTCCTTTACTGGCACAATGACAGGCAAGAGCAAAAGGAGATGTGTCTGCAGCAAGCTGGGCAGTAACCTTTGCTGGCTCCCAGTGAGGTGGCCACTGCCATGACTTGTCCAACAATAGGGAGCTTGTGATTAGCGTAAACTCACTAACATCAGACAAGTGCTTTTTGGCTCAGGACTTGCCTTAAACAGTTGCTAGGATGAAGTGCCCTGACATTTATCTAATCTCCCTCATTCCTTCTTTTTGATATTTTCCCAAGGTGATCAACAACTACGTGGCTGTTTTGCTAGCAGGATTTCAAAGGGTCCCTGATCTGTGGCTCACTTGGCCCAGGGACTCAAACACCCGCAAGCAGTTAGCCCACCGTCTGCTCTCTCACCTGGAGCTCTGGTTTCCTAATAGGGTTTGTTCTGCTCTTCCCATTGGACAGATGCAGGTTCCACCCCTGGCCCCAGGGACTATGGTGCTTTCCCAGCCAATGGTCATCTCCGTCTCCTGGAACAGCACCCATCTTCTTTCTGCTTCCAAGTCCTTAGTCACTGACCTCCAGCTGAGATGCCCATCTCTCCCCACAACTTTAAAATATTTTTTAAACTTTATTAATTTCAAAGGCAGAGTTTTAGAGACAGGGACAGAGAGATCTTACATCCATTACCCAAATGGCTGAAGCCAACAGCCATCTAGGTCTCTTAGTAGGTGGCAGGGGCCCAAGCATTTGGACCATCCTCTGCTTTCCCAGGCACAGTAGCAGGGATCTGAGTCAGAATCCCTGACCCAGAGCTGTTGGGACTCCAACTGGTACCCATATAGGAAGATGGCATCACGGGTGGTAGCGTAAACCACTGCATCACGACAACACTCCAACTTTTAGAACCTAAGTTTATATCCAGATATAAACTTACACTACATAGAGTGTTCTCCTCAGCAACTGGAACAGGCAGCATGGGGCTGCAGTGGTGCCTGGAGACACCTGAGGACACATTGCCGCTTCTGGCTTCTGTGTGATCCAAGAAGAAGCACACACAGCTCTTCACCTTGACTGGGCTATAAACCAACACAAATCACTGTCTCGAGGAGACGTAGTGTGTATCTTGAACTGGACACTGGCTTTATACAAATGGGCATGCTCTGTCTCTTTGGGTGAATTTCAGCTTAGTATAGAGTTCATTAGATATGTCATTACTATCATTAACGTAAGGGTGGGCACCTTTTCCTGCCAAGGGTCACCTGGATCATTTACAACATCATCTTTGGGTGGTATATAATGATTGACCTAAACATTCACCAATTGTAGATTAATTGAATTTCAAGTCCCACCTGTGGTGGCCTTGGCAGGGCCAGATGTTCCCTTCCCTTAGTAAAGAAAAGAATTTGAGGGGCTGGCATTGTGGCATGGAGTTAAGTTGCCAACTGCAACAATGGCATCCCATATAGGCACTGGTTTGAGTTCCAGTTCCTCCACTTCCAATCCAGCTCCGTGCTAGTGACCAAGTGCTCAGGCCCCAGACACTCAAGTGGGAGACCTGGAAAAAGCTCCTGGTTCTGAGCTTTGGTCTGGTCCAGCCCCAGTCACTGTAGCTATTTGGGGAGTGAACCTGCAAGTGAAAGATCTGTCTCTCTCTTCCTCTCTCTCCTTCTCCATAACTCCATTTTTCAAGTAAACAAGTATTTTTGAAAACTATGTGAGTATTTGGGATAAATGTGAAATCCCAAGTTACAGTCGTTAGAAAGATAATAGGCAGACAGGGAATAAGGGTATCACAATAAAAATGCCTCTCAGAGCACTCTGGTCCTGCAGGTGGTGGTGACAAATGCCCCGCATTAGCGTCCTAAGCAGAGGTAATGCCTGTCATGCATAGGTTGCATAAATGGGATCCCATGACTTTCAGCCGACCCCAAGGCGCACTCTCTCAGACATCTCACCAGAGGACAGCATGCTAGACAGAGGCCTCCAATCATGTCTGCTGTCTCCTGTGGGCGTCTCAGAAGACACAGTCTGACAGATGCCTAGAGGTCTGACATCTAATGAGCAGTTTTGTTTTCTAAAAGTAACGAGAAAAATGTACATCTTCCCAAACACAGACACTAATCAGGGTTTCTCTCTGGGATAATTAGGGTTGTCTCCCTCCTTCCCACCCTCAACCTTGCTGCAAGGCTCCTTCTAAAAACACAAAAGCAAAGGCACCTCTGCTTTCTCAGTTGATGGGATGGAGAGCAACATGTGAGCACACTAGGGCATGCAGCCCCTGGACCCTGGTTAATCAGGGATGGTGACAGCAGGGCTGACTCTGCACTACCACACCAGGCATTCATGGATCAGCCCCCTTCACCTGCGCCTGGCACACACACACCCTTGCCACCCTCCCTCTATCTCCCAGCCCTCACCTGGTTGATGACATAGATGCCGTAGTCCAGCTGCTGGCGCTGCAGGATTGGGTGCAGGTAATAAAGCCAATACTTGAGATGCTCCTGTCGGTTGCGGAATGGGATGATGATGGCGACCTTGTGTGGGGAGGTACAATTCTTGGGGGAATGGCGACCACCCAGCTTCACCTCCGGGTTCTGCTTTGCCAGGAGCTCCAGGTCCACATGGACGTTAAAGTCAACCGACCTGGGGCCAACTAGAGAAGTGGAGGGAAGGAGAAGTTAGCAGGTACTGGACTCACCACTCCGCCTCCTGCAGTGGAGGACCAGGACACAGCTGTAGGGGCAGTGTCTGCTCTTGGGGACAGCGCAATGAGGGAGAGAGCATTCATGCATAGCACCAGGTGGTACTGCGTCCAGCACAAGGATGACTATCCATTTCAGTGCTCAAAGTCCTGTGCCCCAGGAAGCTTTCAGTGTCAGGCCAACCCAGAGGACTAGGGACCCTATCAAGCCTTCACCTGCCACAGACTCTGCCCCACTACATGCCATGTAAAACAGAAATATTTCCTGCTCAGTCAGCCCAACCAACCGGCTGTTGTTACAATCAGTGACCACGAATTAGAAGCTACTTTCTCAGAAATCCTGGGGTTGAGGAGAGGGTGTCGTGGTAATGCGGGTGAAACCACAGCTGGAGAGGTCTGCATCCCGTAACAGAGTTCCAGCTGCCCCACTTCCCCATGCCGCTTCCCTGCTTATGCTCCTGAGAATGCAGCAAATGACTGCCCAGCAACCTGGGTCCCTGCCACTTCTGTGAGAGACCAAGATGGAGTCCCTGGCTCCCAGTCCGGGTCTGGCCCAGCCTTTGATATTGCAGGTGTTTGGGGGAATGAGCCAGCAGAGGAAAATCTCTCTTTCCCTGTCATTCTACCTTTCAAAACAAATAAATAGAAGTTCGTTTAAAAGGAAGTCAGCACAAGAGTTCTGGGCACGGAGGAAAGGCTGATTGACCCTGGGGTAGTGGCAGCTCAGGAGTAGAAGGAAAAGGAAGATTGGACCCTGGATGCAGGGCGCAGCATGGAGAACCAGGCACAGGGCCAGGATGGCCACCTAAACTTACCGTATTCCCTGTCCTACAGAATTCCTCAAAACAGATTCCAGGAAACATAACAGCCAGCAATCTGCTCGATGGGAAAACACCCTATGGTCCAATAAGGGTGGGAACACTGCTACTAAACCCTGCTCCTGGAAAGTGCATCAGGGCCGCGAAGTTGCACAATCCAAAGAGCACCAACCTCTCACTCCACTCAACCGCAGCATCCTGGCCCAATTCGGCGACCTAACTTTTATACCAGGGAGCACACTTTAGGAACTGTCACCCTGGGGAGCCACCTTTATTTGTGAAGAAGATGAGCACCCAGAACCAAGCAAGGAACTTTTCATAGAGCAGAGTGGGGGCCCAACATGGAGACCTCAGCTGCTCACCCTCCCTGAAATGAGGCAGCCATCAGGGAGGAAGCTGAGAGCCGGCTCCTCCCTACATCTTCCCTCCCCATCACTTTCCTGCTGAAAGTATCGGAAGGCTCTCAGGTCACTGCACAGCTTTGGACAAGGCCAAGGCCAAATCCCTTCATTTGATGAAAAGGCCCTCATGTCTATCTCCCTCCCCATTCCTATAAACCACTTGCTTTTCCCTTTGCTAGTGGGGCCCTTCCACTTCTCCTCTAGTAGGCAGACTTTCGCACTCATTCACTGTCCCTTTGCTCTCTTCCTTACCCTGGCAGTAAGCTCCCTGCTTACCTCCATCCCAGGCAAAGAGGGGGTGGGGCCTCAGGGTTCTGAAGGCTCCATGGAGGGATGGAGGAATGGAGGGCAGGGGCAGCTGGCACATCAGTTTCTCACTGAACTGCCTGCTGTCCCAGCTCCAACTGCCCCAGGGCAAGGTCAGCAGGCACTGGGCTCCAGGACATAGTCAGGGGCCACTCTGGACCAGTGTCCCCAATTCCACATTCAGAAACACCTGGAGCCACTGGTACAGATGCAGAACTTCAGCCAGCACAGCTCTGCAAGTCTGGGGGAGCGCCCAGGTGCATGAATAACAAGGAGGTGACTTTAGGGCAATGGAGTGAGCCGAGTCCTCAGGGATTCCCCCCAACTCACCTACCCACACCCTAGCCCAAAAAGTTTACCAGTCCTGGGCCGATCAATCCGTTAACCATGGAGGAAGCCGTTGGGAGGCTCAGCTGCACTGTGAACTTGTCAACAATACCACAGAAAGAAGATATGCCACTGAGCTCCTCTCACTCCAGAAGGCCCTAGAACATCTGCAGTGCCCCATTCTACCCACCCCACCCCTGGTTTTGAAGATGCTGATAAACAACCCATTTTGGGGAACTCAAGCAGCATCTGGGGCTGTCACCCTGGGCACTTGCTCATACCTTCTGAAACCAACCCAGAGAGCAGAATTCACACGTGGCCTGCCCTGCCCAGCCTTCCCGGAGCAGAAACCTGCAAACTGGAGGGAGTGCTGGCGTTACCCCTCAGGGCGATCTGCTCACAACCACCCACCCTCCTCCAGGGTTCCTGGAACAACAGACACTGCTGTGCACCTAGTATGGGGGCTGACCCCTGGGTGGTCCAGCTTCCCTATCCCCTCCCTTACACACACACACACACACACACACACACACACACACACACACTCTTCTCTTTTTTCCTTCTCAGACACCCCACATTCACACACAGGTGGTGTGACTGGCAATGCTGACTGTCTAGGTGGACCTTCCTAGCATAACCTGTGAGTCTTCATTCTGAACGGCTTGTCTGATGCAAGCTCTCCCTGTGACCACTGTTCAAATCATTTTAACCAATACCTCTGAGGCTCCTGGTAGGTGCCAAGCTGAATGCCAGTCAAGAAAGGCTGGGTAGAGATGGAGGAGAAGGAATGGACAAGGCGATTCCTATCTTCTTGGAGCTCCTTACAGAGCATGTACCAGAACCTGAATGGAAATCACCCTATTTCAGGGTGGCACAGGGACACAATCCTACAAGGGCTCCTTGCCAAGCACTAAGACGCCAAAGCCTTGTCTTACTCTCTCACCTCTGCTCTCTTCATGGCCCCGGATGCTTCAGCTAGCACACTAACCCCCACTCCAACCCACCTAGCCCAGCCTGGCAATTCCTTCTCCTGTCCATTCTTTTTCTCAGAATGCTACACAAAGCCTGACTCCCACAGTCCACATCTGAGACAGGACAGCACTCCACAGCCCCTCACCTGTAACTGACAGCCTTCTCGGGTCCAGCACCAGCTTGGCGGCCTCCCCAAGCACCCAGTGCCCTCCTGCGACACTGGTTGGACCATCCTCCATCACCCAGCTGGCTCCATTCCAGTGAGAAAGATCCAGAGAACTCAGACTCCAGGAGGGCAATGCCCAGCTCTGTGGTCAGCTCTGAGGCTGCCTGAGGAGGCAGAGGGCTGAGAACTTCACAAGAGTCGGCAGGCTGGGCCAAGGTGCCCTTGCTGTGTGGCACATGGCGTGTGCTTCCATAGCCCTCTGCCCTGCTGGGCTGGCTTGTGTGTTTTCCTGGCTCTGGAAGCTGGGAAGTGGGGTTATGTAAGCAGATGAGCAGATGTGAGCTGTCCTCGGCTCCCCTGCTCAAGCCCCGCCACGTGGGCCTCCCGGCTGGGAGTCCAGGTCACGGCCTGGCGTGTAAGCCGCTCAATAACTTCAATGTGTGAGCTTGAGACAGATTCTGTAGCTCCCTTGCCTGGCCTGGAAAACCCAAACACACACACACACCCCTCCATCAAAAACCCTGCTAATCTAAGCGGGCCAGGCATGGACTCCTGCCTGGCTTTCACACTGGCCAAACCACTAGTTTAATCCTCTAGACTCAGCAAAACAGCCTGGAACTGCTTTCTTCCTGATTAGCCAGTGGTTTAAGATTCTAGTGCTTGGCTTGAGGCCGGAGCGTGACAATGTTTTACCAGGCTGGGAAAGTACAATAAAAGTAAAGACCACGTAGGTGGTTTTGCACCATACTAAATAGCATCAGTATGGTGGAATGAATATACTGTTCCCAAGAGTAAATGCTGTTACTCTTCTGTTTTTAAGTTGTGTGTCTCTACTTTATTTGAGACAAGGCACAGACAGCATGCACTCCCATTGGTTCAGTCCCCAGATGACCAGGAGGCAGGAACTCAACCCAGGTTTCTCATGTGGGTGACAGACACTCACATGAAACTTTAACCCCTCATTGCTGTCTCCCAGGGTCTGTACTAGCAAGAACCTGGAGTGGGGAGCTACAGCCAGGAATCGAACCCACGCACTACAATATGGGTTGGGGCATCTTAACTATTCGGTCAAACAACTCTCTCTTCACATTTTTTACTTGTTAGACATCTCCCTTTTCTTAGCAAATGACTGTGATGTGTTAGACCTTTAATTTTTTTTCCCAAAATCCTTTTGAAAACCATAGGTCAGGCTCCCAAAAGTTACTTCTGAAGATTTCCTGGGCAAGCAGAGTCAAACATCTGGGAAAGATCTGAGGACATGTGGGACCACGCAGGACCCAGAATTCGGTGGTTCCGAACGTTGCGATGCGGTAATGTTTTCTGGGTCCAGCGCTCAAGCCTAACAGCACACTGCATGGTGAGCCCATGTCAGGGGGCATTTCTGCCTGTGCCAAGTCCTCTGAATGCCAGGCGTGCACTAGACGCTGCATCAGGAGTTCCCATCAAATCCCTGAGCTCAGGAAAGATTTGCTCAGAGGTCCTGTGCATTCCCAGTGCCCTCTGTGGGCTCTGTAGGCTCTAATACAGGTGAAGAGGAGCCCCTTCTCTTCCAGCCTGTGGGGAAGAGGACAGACTTGGGGGGCTGGGAGTGGTGGGGTAGGGAAGAGGCACCAAAATCCAACAGCACCAAGCTTCAGGTCAAACTTCACCTTCCCTGACTGCTCAAGGCTGGTTCTAAACCTCCTACATATTCACAGCCCCACATCCATTCAAACACACATTCACTTAGTGCTTTCTCTGTGTGAAGGGATGCCAGGTGTGCAGAGAGTGGGGCTGAATGAGATCTCTACCCTCAGCAAGCTGGGAGAGGAGTGGTGCAAACACAAAGATAGGTTTTTGAACACTCGATTCCAGCCACCAGCATCACGAGTGGGCACAAAAGGAGGGAAATCAACCAACTCCAAGGCAGGGAGGAGACTCAGGGGAAACTCGACAGAGCAGCAGCTCCTGCTGCGAGACTCT